GCAAACTTTGCTCTCCTTTGCAAAGAAGCATCTATTTCAGTGGTTCTCAACCTTTTTAATGCCGCGACCCCAACCGGTCATAAGTCGAGGACTAAACCGGTCGTAAGTCGAGGACTAAGCCGGTCGTAAGTCGAGGGCTACCCAACCGGTCGTAAGTCGAGGACTTTCCCTGCCCGGGAGCGCCGCGCATGCGTGGTTCCGCCCCCTGCGCCGGCCGAGGCATAGCTGGCAAGCGGCAGAGACGGAGCAGGCCGACCACCAGCTGGCCCAGCGCAAGGGAGGTAAGGCACCCGCCGGAAAAGGGGGGAAAAAATGGCGGACAAAAAAAATGGCGGACAGCCTTGCTTGGCGACCCCCATGAAATGGTCGATCGACCCCAAATGGGGTCCCGACCCACAGGTTGAGAACCACTGATCTATTTGAAGCTTGGGAGCGCCCAATTATTAAGAAATCATTTTCTTTCCCCCCCCCCAAATCACGAGTCTTTGCTTATGAACTTCAAAAAGAGCCAGTTGTTTAAAAAAAAAAAGTGAAGTTTTCATTCTCCTCAGCTGAATTTATGTGTGGTGTGTAATTAACATCTTCCCCCCTCCGCAATAATTTGGAGCTAATTTTGACTGAAATGAGACATGTGAAGAGTTCCAGAAGAAAAGAAAGATACCCAGTGGCAGAATGATGGAACACAGGTAGTCCCCTGCTTTCAATAGCTCATTTAGTGACTGTTCAGAGTTACAACGCTGCTGAAAAAAGTGACTTACGACCGTGTGTCACACTTACGACTCTGGCAGCATCCCCACGCTCACGGGATTAAAATTTGGACATCGGCAACTGGCTCATATTTATGACCGGTCGCTGTGTCCCTGGGGTCACGTGATCCCCTTTTGTGACCATCTGACAAGTGGGGAAACCAGACTCACTTAACAACCGTGTTGCTAGCTTAAAAACTGCAGTTATTCACTTACGAACCGTGGGAAGAAAAAGTGATAAAATTGGGCCAAATTCACTTAACAAGTCTCTTGGTTAGCAACAGTTTGGGCTGAATTGTCGTCGTAAGTCGACGACTACCTGTGTTCAGGATCTCCAGTTTTTAAGTTCATTTGTTCACTTTGGAGCCGAATGACAAAGAGTCTACTTTTAATTGTAGACAACCAGGGGTGTGTGTGTGTGTGTGTGTGTGTGTGTGAGTGACTGCTTCAGCATGTGGCTTGTCGCTTGTCGCTTCCTTTGTCCAAATCAATTTTTTTAGCTGTTAACCAATTCAGGTTTCACTTCCCTTCTCAAAAGACACCTGGAAGGAGAAGGAGAAGGAAAGACAAAAAAGCGTAGCCCTTGAAACGGGTTCACATTTAAATTTACAGCAGCAGTTTTTTAAAAAAAACAGATTCATACACAAACCTTGTGGGGAAGGAGAGGAGATTGTAGTAGATATTTAGAGATATAAGAAGAATCCTGTTTGATCCAGCTGCTGGCCAGTAAAGTCCAGCATTTTGAGCCACACAATAACCAAATCTGGCACATGGTTTTAGCACTCGCAACAGCACTTATAGGCCGCTTCACAGTGCTTTACAGCCCTCTCTGGCTGGTTTACAATGTCAGCATATATTGCCCCCAACAATCTGGGTCCTCATTTTACCGACCTCGGAAGGATGGAAGGCTGAGTCAACCCTGAGCTGGTCAGGATCGAACTCCTGGCAGTGGGCAGAGTCAGCCTCTAACACTGCCTTCTCACCACTGCGCTACCAGGGCTCCATCTTTTTGGGGGAAGGAGCTTGGGTCACAGTTTGAGGGGAAACCTGCAAGACTGGCATCTGGAATTCTTCTCTCCCAGTGGTGACTAGAGCTGAAGAACAAATGGAACAAAATCATATGTTCCATTGATGGGCAGGGTCACTTTCTTCCCAAGGACTAATCGGGGCGTGTGCGTTCCTGCGCCTGCATGGCTGTGTGAGGTTCTAATTGGGGGGGGTACGTAGATGGGGCATGTCTGTGTGCCCACCTCCCCTCATGTGGTGTCTCTTTGTGCTGGGAAGCATGGGGAGGGCTGCAGAGGCTCCACTCCAGATCACATGACCAGGGAAAGGTGAGGTTTTAGAATGGAGCATCAGCAATTTTCCAAGCCTTTTGCCCGTTTGTCTCGGCTGTACGGTTGCAACGAGAGATATAATTAATAATAATAATAATAATAATAATAATAATAATAATAATAATAATAATAATAATAAAGTTGGAAGGGACCTTGGAGGTCATCTAGTCCAATCCCCAGCTCAGGCAGGAAACCCTATAGTACCATTTCGGACAAATGGCTGTCCAGTCTCTTCTTAAAAACTTCCAGTTTTGGAGCATTCACCGCTTCTGGAGGCAGGTTGTTCCACTGGTTAATTGTTCTCACTGTCAGGAAGTTTCTCCTTAGTTCTAAGTTGCTTCTCTCCTTGATTAGTTTCCATCCGTTGCTTCTGGCCAAATTGTATATCTTTTAAAATCTTTCTTTGGTTGGTCCATCTTCCATCCTCCAACCCCAATTTTATTTTCTTTGCTTCTGTTGTTTGGAATTATCCTGCTGGATAAAGGCCTGGACCTTTTTTAGCATCCTACCTTTCCTGAGTTCTGTATATGAAAAAGAATAATAATGTGGAGCCAAACAAGATATCCTTCAGGGGAGCCTCTCCCAAGCTGGACACCACCAGAGGCTCTGGGCTCCCAAAAACCACAACTTATTTATCTTTCATTTATTTATTAAATTTATATGACTCTCCAATTCCTGCACAGGTTGACTCTGGGCTGTTTACAACTTGCAGCTGTATTGGCTGGGATTTCTGACAGTTTGGCATCTTTTCCTCCTCTGGGTGATGCCAGTTTTGGGGGGGGCACCACCAGTGCATCACCAAGCATGTAAATTTGGAGAAACAGAACCAGCAGGGGGATATCAGTTTGGGTTTGGCAGGGTCTTAAATCCCTCTTTTCACATCCAGCATCTGCTCGAACGCTCGTGGTATGCCGTGACCGAGACCTGCCTCGCCTTTACCGTCTTCAGGGATGACTTCAGTCCTCGTTTTGTGGCTCTCTTCACCCTCCTCCTCTTCCTCAAGTGCTTCCATTGGCTGGCTGAAGACCGGGTGGACTTTGTAAGTTATGATCCCGAGTTTGTGGGTGCGAACGTGAGGCTGTAATAACCAGGTCAAAGTAAAACTGGTTTTTCTGCTTGAAGTGTTAAAAGCCGTGTGTCAACGCTGCTAACATCGCATGTTCTTGCATTGACAATAAAGGCAAATGTAGCCATCTTTTACCTTTTGCTTTTAGAGTTAGATGAGGCTGGGAGGAGGGAAGTGAACGAGAGTCCAGCTAGACATAACAACACTAAACTTAGTGTGAGAATCAAGGTTATTGTAACCAGAGCTGATAAGGAATTGGCGGGCTGGAGAGCTGGAGAGGAAGCCTGCGCTTCAAGCTAATTTGGGAATGTGATTTATGACTGTTAATTGGAGGAGGGAATTGTGCTTTGATATGATGTGCCCAGGGGAGGGGAATTCAGTTTTCGGCTTCGATTATGCACTGCCGATACTATGCTAACTCAAAATAAAGATTCTTTAAGGTACACAATGCCTCAAAGTTCTTTCGAAGAGTTTCATCTGTCGGAACCATGACAGTGAGACCGTAATAACCAGGTCAAAGTAAAACTGGTTTTTCTGCTTGAAGTGTTAAAAGCCATGTTTGTCAACCTAGGCCACTTGAAGAGCTGTGGACTTCAACTCCCAGAATTCCCCAGCCCCTTAAACTTTCTTTTTTTCCATTCTAGATGGAGAGAAGTCCCAACATATCTTGGCTCTTCCATTTCCGCATTGTCTGTAAGTACTTTTTTATTTCATTTATTTTATGGATTAAATTTCTATTATTATTTCTTTTACTCTCCCTTATTTTTGCCCCAGCCGATGGCTGCCTCTAAAGTTGTGGCTTGAGACTGGATCCCAGTCTGGCTTCTTGAGAATCTAGCCATAAAATCTATGTGAAAATGACAGGACAGCCACTTGCCCGGAATGGTATAGGGCAGTGGTGGCGAACCTATGGCACGGGTGCCAGAGGCGCCACTCAGAGCCCTCACTGTGAGCACGCGTGCCGTCGCCCCAGTCCTAGGCCTTCAGCTGGGTTTTATAAAATCTTTTTGCTTTAGGCCTCTGCCGCCGTGTGCAAAAAAAAAAAAAAAAGTTCAATCAATCAATTTCAACTTCTCACAGAAAAAAAAAAGATCTCGCAAAGTTGGAATTGATTGATTGAACTTTTTAGTCCCACCGTTACCACCGCAGCCACGCTTACTCGATGGGCCACGCCCACCCGGCACCCGATGATACATAAGTGGGTTTTGGGTTGCAGTTTGGGCACTCGGTCTCTAAAAGGTTCGCCATCACTGGTATAGGTTCTCCTGCTTGAGCAGGGAGCTGGACTAGAAGACCTCCATGGTCCCTTCCAACTCTTATTTTGTTAAAGTTTGGGTCTAAACAGCCCTTTGATGTCTTTCTCCACTAAGTCGCTGCTGTGCCCAATTGCCTTGTTAAAAATACTTGCAGCTGGCTGAGTGATGGAGCCATTCTTGTCTGCTCTGTTTTTTTCCCCAAGATCAGATGAGGTCAAGTGACTATAAACAGATGGAGATCCCAACGCTGTTGGAAGTGTAACTGTAAATAAGGCAGATGTTCCAGAGGGCTAATTGTGGGTGGCGATTTGCATGACGAAATTACCTTTCTTGGTTATTTGCATACCGGGCCCCTGAGATGCCCTTCTTTCAGTTTTTTTTTTTTTATTATTATTATTATTATTATTATTATTATTATTATTATTATTATTATTATTATTATTATTATTATTATTATTATTATTATTATTATTATTATTATTATTATCTGGTGCTTCCAAACAGAGCCACTTTGATGAGTGTAATGAAAGAAAACAGAATGATCTGCTTTGGGCAGTTTACGAAGTTGTTAGGGACCTCATGCACCTCAGTTTTTTTCGCCTTCTGGCGTGTTAGCTGTTACGGGGAGTCCTTGACGTACGTCCATAATTGATAATTAACAGTTATCATTGTTAAGCAGGTAGAACTACCTGACTGGACCAGATTTTACGACATTTTTGTGATGGTCATTAAATGAACACCTAGGCCAGGGGTAGGCAACCTTGGCTCTTTTATGACTCATGGACTTCAACTCCCAGAATTCCTGAGCCAGCATGGGGGAACTTTGGCCCCTTTGTGACTCGTGGACTTCAACTCCCAGAATTCCTGAGCCAGCATGGGGGAACTTTGGCCCCTTTATGACTCGTGGACTTCAACTCCCAGAATTCCTGAGCCAGCCATGCTGAGGGGAAAAAGAGAGGTTTCCAAGCTTAGACATGTTGGCTCAGGAATTCTGGGAGTTGAAGTCCACAAGTCATAAAAGAGCCAAGGCTGCCTACCCCTGACCTAGGCCATTAAGAGAGTCAATTTTTTGTCAAAAACAAATACTGGAAATCAGCACCAAAAAAAAAAAAAAAGCAAAAATTGTCACGGGGCTACGGGATGCTGCAAAGCGGAACTGGTTGCCGAATGACCCAAATGCGATCACGTTGACCATGGGTTGTGTGTATGTGACCGTCGTAACTTTGAATTCAGGTTGTAAGTAGCTTTTGCAGGATCCGTCCTAACTTCAAACGGTGGCTAAGCGACCAGTTGTAAGTCGAGGATCACCTATAGTTTCCTTTTAGGATCAGGAGAGGAATAGTGTATATACCGCCTGAAGGAAAGGCATGAAATAAATCTAATAAATGGATGAATCAGAGAACTTTGCAATAGTCACCTAGGTCAGAGGTCCCCAACCTTTCAGGCACCAGGGACCGGTTCCGTGGAGAGAGGTTTTCCCGCGGACCGGAGGGTGCGTGGTTTTGTGTGCTGCCTGCCTCCTTGTTTGTGCGGACCAGTTGCTGGCATGGGGTTGGGGACCCCTGACCTAGGTGACTGTGAATCTCAAGTGTATTGTGTATTTTCCCTACTCCTTGTTGCTTCCCCACTGACAAAATGGTGTCCCTTCTTTCCTAGCTCTTATCGTGCTTTTGGCCATCTTAGACTTCCTGTTCGTCAGCCACGCCTACCACAGCATCCTGACCAGGGGGGCCTCTGTCCAGCTGGTCTTTGGCTTTGAGGTGAGTAGATCCAAAAAGTTGGGGACCTCTTCTCTAAGCAGTTTACAGAGTCAGTATATTGCCACCAACAATCCGGGTCCTCATTTTTACTGATGTCAGAAGGACGGAAGGCTGAGTCAACCTGGAGCCGGTTAGGATTGAACTGCTGGCAGTGGGCAGAATTAGTTGAATTAGCCCGCAGTGCTTTATTCTGACCACTGCACCACACAGCTCTGTGACTGGGCTTATCAAAGCAAAACCAGGACTGGGCTTGTAAGTTCACAGTTAGAAGGGTAGGTGTCTCGTTGTCATGGTTCCGACAGATGAAACTCTTCCAAGAACTTCGAGGCATTGTTTACCTTAAGGAATCTTTATTTGAGTACCATAGGTCCAAGCCAAAATCTGAGTTCCCTCCCCTGAACACATAGTATCAAAGCACAATTCCCTCCTCCAATTAACAGTCATAAATCACATTTTCCAATTAGTTTGAAATGCAGGCTTCCCCTCCAGTTCTCCAGCCCGCCAATTCTTATCATCTCTTATTTCAATAACCTTGGTTCTCACACTAGGTCCAGTATTGTTATGTCTAGCTAAAGTCTCATGCACGTTCCTCCCCCCGGCATCATCTAACTCTAAAAGCAAAACATAGGAAGAAAATGGTTGCATCTCCATCTGTTGTCAAATTAAATTCGGATGTTTAACCCTTTTCCTCGTGGCTCCCCCACAGTACGCCATTCTCATGACGATGGTGCTGACCGTCTTCATTAAATACTTTCTACACTCCATCGACCTGCAGAGCGAAAATCCCTGGGACAACAAGGCCGTCTTCATGCTCTATACAGAACTCTTCACAGGTAAAATAGATCTGGGGATGAAGTCCAAAGCCTTTCCCCCAAATTCAGCCCCCCTCTCCCAAGCAAGTTGGCAGCTGAGGCACACAGGTTGTCCTTGACTTAGAACCATCCCTTTAGTGACCATTTGAAGTTAGGACAGCACTGAAAAAGGTGACTTATGCCCTGTTTTCACACACACAACCGTTGCAGCGTCCCCCGTGGTCACGTGATCAAAATCCAGACGCTTGGCAACTGGCATGTACCTATGCCCGTTGTCCTGTCCCTGGGTCACACGGATCACCATTTGTAACATTCATTTAACGACCACACGATTCACTTAATAACTGCAGCGATCCACTTCACAACTGCGGCAGAAAGGTGGCGAAATGAGGCACCGCTCATTTAATGACGGCCTCGCTTAGCAATGGAAATGTTAGGCTTGACTGTGGTCATAAGTTGAGGACTACCTGTATTCTGCCTTGATTGCAAGGATCTTTTGGGCAATGACCTGGAAGTAAAAATTGAATGAGTATCCTCTCCTCCTCCTCCTCCTCCTCCTCCAGGTTTCATCAAGGTCCTCCTCTACATGGCCTTTATGACGATCATGATCAAAGTACACACCTTCCCGCTTTTCGCCATCCGGCCCATGTACCTGGCAATGAGGTGAGTCCGGGGCAGGAAAATTGGGAGGAGGCACACCTGCAGTTCTGCACCTGTCTGCGGGTGAAGGGTCTTTCCAGCTCTCCGCCCCCTTCTCCCCCCCAACCACCAAAGATTGCCTGCCTGTTCGCCCCCCCGAGACCTGACTGTTGCTGTCTCCGTTCCAGGCAGTTCAAAAAGGCAGTCACCGATGCAATTATGTCTCGTCGGGCGATCCGCAACATGAACACACTGTGAGTATTTGCTGCGCCCAGAAGGGCCCCATCTGTCCCCTGGTGGAAAGTCCCTCGTTATGTATTAAGAGCCTCAGGGGTTAAATATGTAGGCAGCAAGAATTTTATATTGATATTAATCTGTTTCCTAGTTGAATGTCTCTGCCTGCCTGCCTGCCTGCCTGCCTGCATCCATCCATCTGTCTTATCTATCTTATCTATCCATCTATCTATCTTTGTCTGTCTGTCTGTCTGTCTCTATATCTCTATCTCTATATCTTTATCTCTATATATATCTATATCTTTATTTCTATCTATTTATCCTATCTATCCATCCCTCTCTCTCTCTTATCTATCTATCTGTCCATCTGTCCATCTATCTATCTCTATCCATCCGTCCGTCTATCTATCTATCTATCTATCTATCTATCTATCTATCTATCTATCTATCTATCTATCTATCTATCTATCTATCTATCTATCTATCTATCTATCTATCTATCTCTATCCATCTGTCTGTCTGTCTGTCTGTCTGTCTGTCTGTCTGTCTGTCTGTCTGTCTGTCTGTCTGTCTGTCTGTCTGTCTATCATCTATCCATCCACCCACCCAGACTTGACTGCCTGTCTGCCTGCCTGCCTAGCTAAAGAACAAATCTATATTGATTCCTTGATTAGTCGTTTGGAAAAAAGCCATTGACCTCTGTGTCATTGCCAAGGAAAGATTGTAAAGTCACAAAGAGCTGAGCAGAACAAAATTCCCAGCGATCTTTCTGTTCTAAGCACACATAATAATAAGAATAATAGTAGTAGTAGTAGTGGTGGTGGTGGTGGTGGTGGTGGTGGTGGACTGTGCGTGTGCTGCCTGCATCAGCGGATGGGGCTTCGCTTGTTTGTGTGGCCCGGTACTGGTCCAGGGCCCGGGGTTCTAGTCCAACCCCCTGCTCAGGCAGGAAACCCTATACCGTTTCAGACAAATGGCTGTCCAGCCTAAGAAGGGACTTAGGCGTCTGACCTTGTTCTCCTCAGGTACCCCGATGCCACCCCTGAAGAGCTGCAGGCCATGGACAACGTTTGCATCATCTGCCGGGAGGAGATGGTGACGGGTGCGAAACGCCTGCCTTGCAATCACATATTCCATACCAGGTGGGGGAAAGTGGTGTTGTTGTTTTTTAAAAATAAAAAACCTGAATGGATTTGGGTGGACTTGAAAGCTTCTTGTCTGCAGGAGTGCAGGATGCAGCCTGCCTTGGGTGGTTCGTCCTTCCTTCTTTCCTTCTTTCCTTCTTTCCTTCTTTCCTTCCTTCCTTCCTTCCTTCCTTCTTTCCTTCTTTCCTTCTTTCCTTCTTTCCTTCTTTCCTTCTTTCCTTCCTTCCTTCCTCCCTCCCTCCCTCCCTTCCCCATCTGATCCTCCAAGGGTAAGTACTACAGCACAGGCTTTCCTTGCCAACAATAGCTTTCCCCACTTTGGGGCTTCCAGGCGTGTTGGACTTTCCTCAGCTCCCTTCCTTCCTACCCAGAAGCAACAAA